GTTGTCAGCATACAATAGCGTTGTGCTGCCACAAATGACTCCATAATTGCTTTTCTTTGATCTGCCTGGTTGATCATACATTTACAAGACATTTAAGCAATATTGAAACAATCTAAAGAGATTAATAAATACTGGGAACTTCTACATAAAATCTTTAATATTAAACTCTAAGAAATTCAGCGAAAGGGAAAAAAAAGAAAAATACTGTGCGTGCTTCTGAACAGTAAAAATCGGCTTTCCCAAAGTCACTTCTTGCATAATACAGCCAGCAGGTTGAAGGAATGCCATCTCTACCACATCGTCCACTTTCCTGGTAATATGATTCCAGACTCTTTGGGCAGCCATAGTGTATCACATGTCTAATGTTAGGCTTGTCGATACCCATGCCAAATGCTATAGTTGCAACCATGACATAAAATTCATCTCTGATGAATGCCCTGAAATGCAACAAAATTTCTGTTGCCAGACTGAACAGATATACAGTAATTGCACCAAGAATAATGAAGAGCGCACACCATTTAATATCCTTTAACAAAACATACAAAGCCCTTGTTTGGTTTGGATAAAAATAAGATTTTTAGTAGATTTCAAATCTAGTGAGAAGTAAAACCTGTGAGACTCCTCACGCGCTTTATTGGACATTTGACCATGGTATATTCCAGCCTCAATTCCGTCCTCAAGAAGGAACTTGAAAATCTAAAGAATCATGATTTGAATAACTAAAGTCAAAACATATCATCATGAATACATGTTTTTCCGCATCATCTTTCTAGAAGACCATGACATACATGAAATGATTGGCATTTAGGTAAACATCCACATGCATGTTTACACATGAGAAACAAGAATATAGGGTTTACAAATCTAGAAGTGTGAATAACCTGTTCAGCATCTTTGACAGTTGTACAGTATACTATAGTTGAACTTCTGCTGTTCCTATATTTAGAAATCTCCTTCACAAGCTCATCCACAAAAGCTGAACTGCGATCGGAATATTTGACACCGTAGAAGAGATTTTGACGGTCAAATGAACCAATAGTTATGTGAGGATTTTTCATCTTCAGTGAATTTATAATGTCAATGCGAACCCTGCAAAAAACGAAGTCTCTTTATAGGCTCTACAAGACCAGATTTAACTAAAAGCAAAACCTCAGTGAAAAAGAAAATCTGAGCTGATAGATTATTGGATAAATTAAAACTATGACAGGAAAGATGATTCATGATTTACGAGTTTACACAGACTTCTGAACTGAACCAGCTTAAAATAAGGATAGAAAAATAGCATTCGGAACAGGAGATAGACGAAAAGGACCAAGAACTAGAAAATACTGTCATCATTATGTTAAACTGAGCCCACGATATGAGATGATTAAGACCGATGAAAAGTTTACATGTAGTGAAACATCAACTAATGTTGTGGATTTTTCTATAGATAAAGATTTTACAAAACCAAATGGCCAGAATTTGACTGAAATTCATAGTTCGCAGCCTCCTTCAACTGTGACAAATTATTTACCAGGTATAATGCTGTGGGCTACCAGAACTTACAATATGGAAAAACAATATCAAAATGCAAAAACCTACTTTTCAGTGGCAGTTGCCGTTAAGCCAACAAATGGAACATTTGGAAGAACATCCCGCAGCCTACCTAATTGTTTATACTCAACCCTACAAAAGAAATGGAACCTTAGAATGATGATAGAAGAAATATAGAGAAAATTATAAGGAATTATTTTAGTTGTACAACCGGGTTTTACAACTCCGGTTGACAACTTACTCACAGGGGAGGGATCCATGATATTTTTATCCAGTGTGGGCCCCCCTCCCATGTATGTGGTTGTCAATCGAGGTTGTCAACCTCGATTGTACAGTAGCATAACTGAATTATAAGACTAATAAGAACAATCAACGAGAGGAGGGCGGGAGCAGAAAGTGGCACAGACTTGAAAAACAAATTTCATTACAATTGAAGCGTCATTTGATGAATCCAACTCCTGAAGCTAAAAATGAAAGGCAGACAGATCTTAGTTGAGCCTTCATTTGAGAATTAGAAAATAACTTTTGATAGTGAGATCCATAATTTATTACGAGCAACAAGGTTCAATTGAAAATGATGGCAATCACTCGAAGATTTTGGGGGATAAAATCAAAGTCTCCTAACTGTAAGATATTTGAACCCACTCTGATAGTATCTCAAGCAACCAACTTGATTTCCATTCAATCATTCAGTTCAAAACTTCAAATTCCCATATTCCCTTTTCTTGCAAGTCAAGTAGAGCAACAGTGTCACTGATAAATATGAACAATGTGCCAATTGATAACACTCGAATAGATCTTTATTGACAAGTGATAGATAAAGTCATCACATACTAGATCCACACTGTCAATCTTTATTCATAATCAATGGAATCATTGTTCATGACCCATGATTCTAAGTTATCATCACTACATATTCCAATTCATATATTTCATGATTATCATTAATGTATAAAAGCTCACGTGATGAAAGTCTAGGATACATGAGAAATCTCATTCATTAAACGAACATAAAAACAACAGTAGCATCATGCAGCCACGTGTCATTGAACCAAAACTGGTTTCTCAAGATACATGGCCAGTACAAATGTGTAATTACCCTGGTTTTGATTTCAGATCAATTAAAACTTCAAGTTTCAATCTTTATTTTTCTTCACATCGTGGTGTCTTTGCAGTAATCAAGCCAAATGGCTCTAAATATTAAGAAACTGATCATGGATCGTTATACTAGTGAAGAACCAACCTGAAATCATGACCCCACTCTGAAATGCAATGTGCTTCATCAACAGCCAGGAGACATATTCCTGAAATTAGCAGTCTGGACCAGAAACTGCAGTACCACTTTATATCACTCAGGAGAATAAATTTATCACAATTAAATGGAGGATTGCAAAAGTAATTGAAACTCTTAAACGGTAGAGGTAAATAAGGAAAAAAAGGAAGAGATGAAGTTTGGGAATTTCACTTTCACCATCATCATTTGCAACTATAATAAAAAGCGCAAAAACTTCACATGGTGATCTTCAGCTTAATGAACTAGAGTCCAAAAGATACCTTAATATTTTTTTAAAAAGAACAAGACAAACAAAGGAGACACGCATTATAAAATAAACCAAATATATTTGTATACATGTGCATTTCATAAGTAGAATAGCCTCAACGCCATTATTGCAGAGATGGTAAAACAAATTAACCAAGCTTAGGTCTTTTCATAAAAAATACATAGTATTTTCATTTTTCAGCTTACCTGGTTGTAAGAACGCAAGCCTTCTCTGGAGTCATGTACAGTATATTGTACTGGCCACTTTCAGCATTACTGTGAGCACTACGGTCAGTCTGAGCACTCGAGAGATACTCAGCTCTTATACCTCGTTGCTTCAATGCCATTACCTAAACATTATAACGAGCAGATAAAATTATTTTTTTAAATTTCTAGTAGATACGATTAAGTTTCATCCACTCAGCATGTTGGAATAAATACCAAGAAGATAAGAAATAAACCTGATCTTGCATCAAAGAAATAAGAGGGCTTATAACTACAGTTGTCTTTTTGGCAATCAATGGTGGTACCTGATAGCTTTGTTATTTATTCGAAAAATAGTTAATCAGAAGTATATTTTCTTGAATCAAGTAAGTGTATCAAGACATAATGCAAAAAACGGTAATAAAATTGAAGCTTACCACAAGGACTTGCCACTGCCAGTGGCCATAACCACCAAAGAATCTTTTCCATCTAAAATCTTCTCCACAATTTCTTTCTGGTACGGTCGAAATTTCGAAAACCCAAAATATTGCTGTACTAGAAAACGATAAAAAAGTTAAAAACGTTCGAGAAAAAACAAAAGAAGAAGAAATTTAAAGGTAAGAATGGAGGGAGAAAATGAACCTTGAGGATTGACTCCATTTCTGTGTTCGATTATCGGACTGGGTGATGGATCCGTGGAGAAGGAGAAGGAGAGTCGAATACTATGATATGAGGTAGAAGTAGTGATTTTCAATTGGAAATGCCGTAAATTTAGAGGGACGCGCGGATTGGTTTCCCGCCATACGATGCGGCCGGCGTTTATGCAAAATGTTTTTTTGACCCATAACTTCTTAAGAAGTATAAATAAGCCCCCGTTTGGGGTCCATTCTTTTTAAAAAGAGAGAATTTTGAATATTGTTTTAAGGGAATATGTGGTTAAAAAATTGGAAAAATTTTGAATTTACATGTGAAATATTTTATTGTATAAATATATGGTTGAATATGCTCTATAGAAGAAAGAGTTTAAAAATAATGGAAATCAAAGCCCCTGTTTGACCGAATTTTTTTTTTGGAAAGAATGAACTTTTGAATGGTAAAATTTGAAAGAATGTGTTGTTAAAAATTAAAGAAAAAATATAGATTTAAGTAAAGAATATTTTATTCTGAAAATGTGTAGTTTAAAATGAATTGGAAAAAAAAAATTTTATTTTAAAAGTATTTCAACAACACGTTCTTCAATAAAATAACATTATACGCAAATTCAAAACTTTTATTTAAAATTTTTTAACTACACATTTTTCATTAATACACTGTTAAAATTGCATTTTTTTCTCCCAAAACAGGGCTCAAAGGCTTAGAAAGTATCGATGTCAAATTAGGCCCGAAACCTTCCAACTCGACTCACATCCAGTCTTAATCAACTTAGATTAGCATATTCAAAAATTATAAAGAGCAAAATTATCATTATATTATTCTTAATTAAAATATTAAAAATAAATATAGAGAATTCAGAAAAAAGGATAAGAAAAAAATTGAAGAAATAAAATAAAATAAAAATCGTCTTATCCGCCAACCTCGCCACCATCACACTTCGGCCACCATTGCCACCACCACAGCAAAAATCAGGGAAAATTAGTGCTTTGGTCTGAACAACTGGGGTATTAGTTTCTTCTCATGTTAACTTTCATGCCTTGTTTGGTAAATTATATCACACAACATCATAAGAAAGAATTTCGTTCACTATTCTATCTAGTCATATCTAGTACAACCCAACAAACATGCCATGTCGTTACATTTCTTAGATGACTTAGGACTCATTTTACACAAGTTATACAAGAGGAACAAACAAACTAAATGGCATAAAATACAAAATATGTGGTCTTCCACATCCAAAAGAGCAGCAATTAAATCCTGTGTAATTTTACTGATCTTGTTCATCAAGAATAATTCCTTATTCTGGTGGAAAACTAGAAATTATACACACAGTAAACCATGAATATAAACTCTGACCATGTATATAACCTAAGAAAGCACACATGTCGTGAATTCAAATTCGGAATGTGAAACCACAACTTGATACAAAGCTTAGGTGAAAAGCTTTCTGTAGTTGGCTGCCTCTTCAGCCATCTCTTCTATGGTTCTGTCCTTCCTTTCTTCATCCAAATCAAGCTTTTGCTTAAGTTCCTTCTCCTTCTCTTTAATCTGTGAAATGTATCAACAGTAGGAAGAATATATTATTTCAGTTTAGAGTTAAGCCAACCTTCACAAGGATTGAAGTGTCTTACAGCATCATAAATCTCATCGTTTTTCTCAAAATCGCCTCTTTTGCGTGGGAGTATGTGAATGTGAACATGAGGAACAGTCTGTCCAGACTGAGGTCCATCCTGCGGTATCACTAAATGTCAGCAAGCTGGGGCTTCCAGGATCAAATGGAGTTAATTAAACAACAATGCCAGCTACCAAATGTAGAAATTCTTAGGTAATGCTAAATTGTAGGTCTTCTCCAAGAACAGAAAATGCAACAGAGGATTTGCCTTAGTTAAAAAAATTGCAGCATAAGCAAATCCTTTCTTATTTAAATCAAAAGATGTAATAAATCAAAAAGTCGAAGCTCAGAATGCATATTGGGCAGGAGGAGGATTTTTTTTCTCTCTTTTCATTTTGTTGCTTTTATGAAGAATATAGTTAGTCAACCATATTATATGATAAGTTTCTCTCCCGTATAGCATCACTCTTACTTGGATTGTAAATGTTAGTGAAGATGCCTTGTGATAGGACTCAAGCTGTAGGCCAACCTTCTGCGCTGTAAGCCATATATCACTAGTCTCATCAGCAGTGAGATCAACAAAGCGCTTAATTTCACGCCTTGGGCAGATAAGCACATGTACGTTGTGTCAAGTCAACCAAAGAAGTCAAAATGCAAGAGTAGATTGAGACTAACCAAAAGGCTTTCTTTTCTACCTCAATTTCCATTTTTCCTCCTTTTTTATGAAAGCTAAATAAAAGCCTGAAAAAGGAAGATACTCGAGCCAATATGGTTTAACTTGTCTCCTTTAAAAGCGCTATGGTAGCATCTCCACAGAATTTCTATAGGAATACATATACATATTATGTCATGATATGTCTCTTTCAGATAAAGGTGCAAGCTTAGCTTAAACCTGTTAATTTCATTTACAAGCAAATACACTTGCAAACCCCCCAATCACCAGTTAACAATATTAGAATGGCAGAATCAATCCCTTGCCAGGGCTTCAAGGCTTAAGGAATATCCGTATAATTAATTCTAAATGCATGCAACTTATCATTATTAAGTGGGAATACAAGAAAGCATCAATTTGATTTCTTATATTTAACCACATTAGCAGTTCCTTCTACCCCACTACTACCTTTGTAACTCCATAAAACAGTATATACGCTTGAGTAAATCATCACGCACTATTAAAATCGAAAACAAAAGGATATGACCTGCAAAGGAAAACAATTAACATAAGTTACAGAGTGGAAAACTTAAAGATGTTAAAACCAAAAATATACGTGGGCAAGGCCTTGTGCATTAAGCATCAAGTATCATCTCTTTTACTCAAAAAAAAATAAAATAAAATAAAAGGAGGGACAGATAATAATCCTAAAAGGAAACATCCACATGAGTGAAAATACGGATGTCAGTCACATTCTCCATAAGAAAGATTTTATTTTTTCCCCATCAAATACCTAATAAAATTATGAAGTGAAAATTTTAGTTTACAAGATCATGCCATCATGATGCCGATAAAATCTTTCTGCGTGAATCATTCACATTTGCATAACAAGTGAAAATCCTGTTCCAGCCACAGAATAAAACAACAAATGACACCAACTGAGGCGCTAATATGTTTATGTTATACTGTTCTCTCTATGTTAAATAGAAGTTTCTCTTACCTTAATCCATTGTCTACTGGCCTCATCTCAAAATTTTTGCGTCTATTCGGATTTCTCATTTAATTAATCATGCATCTAACTGAAAGACATGAAGGCCATATTAAGGTTTTCCCTTCTTTTTTGGGGATCAAGAATCCTATTGATGTACAGACATTGAATTTCTGCATTCAACTATTCAGTCAAATTACAATATTCTTCGAGTCAACCCCCCGTGCATTGCACAAGTTATATCTACAAAACTGTTCCGGAAACAGCATAAAACAACAAAACAAAACCCACTGAGGTGCTAACACACACACACACACACACATATGGATTGAGAGAAATGGTCTCCTAAGTTTATGGTATGTTCCAGGAATTAAATAATCCACCAACTAATTGATGTGCCATGAGATCGGTTGTTTACAAATCATTTCTATATGTATTTACATTCATGTAGCTCAATCACAAAAGAAACAAGAACTAGAAATGGGAATTACACACCAGGAACAACAGGTCTGAGATTGACCAGAGCATAAGAAAGTTGAGTAGAGTAAAACACTTGCTTTAAGTCGATCTTGTAGGGTCCAAACATATAGCTCTCCGAATCCATCTGGGCATCAATTTTTTTATTTTTAATCAAAACGTCAATAACATCCCTAATTACAGTACAACAAAGATATAGTTTGAGATATATTCTTCCTGAACAAAGACTTGCCTTGAGATGTTTAAAAAAAAAATTTTTTTTGACCCCACAGTTCAAATGGTCTGGGTCCGCCCCTGGTTCCAGGAATTAAATAATCCACCAACTAATTGATGTGCCATGTGATCGGTAGTTTACAAATCATTTCTATATGTATTTACATTCATGTAGCTCAATCACAAAAGAAACAAGAACTAGAAATGGGAATTACACACCAGGAACAACAGGTCTGAGATTGACCAGAGCATAAGAAAGTTGAGTAGAGTAAAACACTTGCTTTAAGTCGATCTTGTAGGGTCCAAACATATAGCTCTCCGAATCCATCTGGGCATCAATTTTTTTATTTTTAATCAAAACGTCAATAACATCCCTAATTACAGTACAACAAAGATATAGTTTGAGATATATTCTTCCTGAAAAAAGACTTGCCTTGGGAGATGTTTGAGTGAAAGAAGAGGAGGCTCTGGCAAAGGAATGAAGCCGGTATCTGGAGGGTTGAATAAACGGTCCAAGAAGCATTTGCGGAGAAGACAGTAGCTTTAACATCAGTGCTTCTAAAAGTCAACCAGCTGAAACTAAAAATAAGTAAAATTCAACCTTGATTCCAATTTTTCTCAAAATAAATTTTTTTTATCTTCTTTTCAATTATATATTTTTTATTAAAATAATATTACACATAAATTTAAAAAAATTTATCTACACATTTTTCATCAATCTATTATTTTAAAATTCATTTTTCCTTGAGTGTCAAATAGCCTCTTAATTTGAAAATCAAAGAAAATCTTTGAAAAATTTATAAATAATTTTCAATTTTTTTATATAATGAGGTTTGACATGTGTAGTTCAATGTTCAAATTAAGCCTCTTTTCACCCCCATTATTTCAAAATATAATTTTTTTCCTCATATTTTTAACTACACAATCTTTCATAAAATAATATTACATAAAAATCTAAATATTTTCTTTCTTTTTAAACTACACATTCTCCCCCAACAAAAATATTATTCCAAAAATAAAAAAATTTCTCTGGTATTTAGCACAAAACGTTTTTAATTTTCAATATTATTGTGCAAAACATCTTTACTTTTCATTTTTTTGACATTATCATTCTTATTTTCTCCTTTCATTACGAAAAATTTTATTTTCATTCAATTTTCTCAATAAAAAATGAACAATGACAAATATACCCTTCTATTTTTTTTTCAGTTTTTGTATTTAATTATTCATTTGAAAATTATTTGTACTTTTAAAAATAAAAATTAGGAGTATAATTGCAATTTATTCTTTATTTTTCTATTCTTTAAATGAGATCGTATATTCATCATTTTACAACTTTTAATTGAAAAAGTTGATGAAAATGATGATTTTCGCAATGAAGTGTGAAAATAAGAATGAAAATGTCCAAAAAAGGTAGCGATGTGTTGAAAATGGATGAAAATGACCATTTTAGCAATGTAATGTGAAAATAGGGGTGAAAATGTCAAAAAATGAAAGATAAAAACATTCTGCACGATAACACTTAAAGATAATGACGTCTTGTGCTAATTACCCTCATCTTAGCATCAAAAGCATGTTGCTTGCTTCAATTGCTTTTATAGACTCAATTGTTCATATCTTGGTATATTGTAACCTCGTTTCATTTGTGCTTCACGGCTGCCTTAGTGAGTGAATTTGTCATTTTTAATTTAAAAAAAAAGTATAATTTTTATAATCTGGTAAATCTGTAAGTAATTTTATGTTTGAGAAAATAACATGTTATTCTTGATCTAAAACTGCCAAGTGATATCTCCATTTGTTTAAGTCAAACTATCAATTTTAATTACACGTTCACAAGATCATCCACACTTTTATTTATACAGAAATGCTCTCTTGCTCATAATGGAAAGTCTTATCTTTCTTACTTGAAGAGAACCGTAGTTACGGTTCTCATATTTGGAGAGAATCGTAAGTCAAGTTCTCCTGCAACATTAGCAAATGGATAGTGTTATTCTACCACTATGGATAGGAGAACAATTTCGTTTATTTACATATCTCGTTTGACTTATTACTCATCTAGTTAAAAGGATTATAATGAAACCAAACACATACAAAAATCAAGATTTGTTATCTCTTTTATATAAATTGACATGTGTTTTGTGAATATTAAAATCAGATTTTTAGTAAATTTTGATAAAAAGAAATAATTGTTGTAGACGATAAGTTGTACAATGAAGAAATCGGATCAGGTAGGCCACTAGCAATCCTGTAGAACTTAAGAAAAATAGAATAAATGAAAATGACCATAAAAAGATCTTAAAAGGACGCCGGTGTGATGTCGGCCGAAGACCCTCTGACAGTCAAGTCAGTAAATCTTGTTGAAAGTTTGATAAATGCCAGATGGAAGAAAGAAGAAATGAATTAGAGTCCAGTGGATTCTGATACCTGAATGCTTGATCGACTGCAGAATTTATAGGAGTGGGGTAACCGTCTAGGAGGGATTGGCGGGGATTCTCCGAGATTACGTAATTGGTTGGAGCCAAATCTAATTCGATCTGTTCAGTTAAGATATCAGGTCTGTCTGTAGATAACTTTCACCAGATCTGGATAGATCGTAACGTGATCTATCTGGAAAATAGATTATTGGAGATTTCGAATTGACATGTAGGTCATGGATTGTGTATTCAGGTTGATTGTTATAATGAGTTGGGCCGATAATGGCGTGGTTGAATCGTATGTGGACCCTGTTCTATGGTTTGGGCCACTTGGGCTAATAAATTAATTTTTACCACTACAATTTGTCCCCTATTCTTTTATACGAGTTCTACTTGAATGGAAGAGTAATTCTAGTTCAGGGATGATCGGATCCTTGGTTGAGAGCGAATTCAAATCGTAGGACGGATCATTTAATTACATGGTGGTGTGTGAAAATCGTCCAGTCATTAAAAATATCATGGAGATTTCTAGTCATTTGTCCAGCCGTGCAATTTTTTAGCTTGCAAGTCGGATATTTGTCTTGTTCGACATGAGTCAATAGCTCTCATATGGCCCAGAGGCCAAGCGATAAATTTTTCTGAAAATTTATTGAATGGTACATTCATTATACAATATATATATATATATATATATTACAATGTTCACATAGCTCGAAAATCGTGCGAAATGATAAGGATCACCACTTTGTGGTGGTCTGAGCCGTGTGGTAAGATCAATTTAGTGGGATGCATGCAACAACTTGTGTCCATGTGCACGAGTTATATACCACTTGGCATTTTGCCGAATGGTTTTGTAGCAATAAAATTTTATTTATTTTTAGTCCATATAGGCCTTGCGATACGTACCCCTTGATTTTCTAGTTAGATTGATCGATGCATCCGATCGAAAAAGAAGATCGTTGATTCGTCTGGATCATGTCATACGCATTGCTTGTTTTGCCATTCCAAATGGTGAATATATCCACATGAAAGGAAAAGGTATTCGATCTATCTAGACCATGCCATATTTGTGGCTTGGTTTACTAGCCCAAAAGATCAACGCGCCCATTGGGAAGAAAATATATTTATCTGGCTAGATAATACGATGCGTTCTACACGATAAATTAGTTAGAAGGCCTCACGTTCATTTTTAAGGTTCGGCAAGTGTATTTTGTCGATGGTTCTGATCGCATTTATGAACTCGTTTACTCATCTCATTTAGAGTGTCGACTTCTATAATTTAAGGCCTCATGTCATCATTTTTCAAGTGACCTGAGTTCTCTTCAAGAAGCTTCTGAGATTCTAGTGAGTTTTTCTTTTCTATTCTTCAAGTTATTGTTTTGTTTTTGAATGTTCTTCAATCATTTTTCCAAGTTCTTTGGTGGTTGAGTATGTTTTGATTTGGTGTTTCTGGAGTTTGATCCATTGCGAAGTGAAGTTGCTAGTGAATAGTTGTTTTTGATGAACAATGCATTGGATTGATTTTTCTGACGCTCTGTACGGAATTTCGGCTGAAGCATGGCCGACTGGTGATATAAATAAGTTTGACAATCCGGGTGAAAACTCGTGGCTGGACGATTATATAGGTTCGGATTGTCCAGAAGGGCCAACATTGGCGGGGTTTGTAGGCGATCCGAGGATTCATTCCTCTCATGAGATTGTTCTAGAGAGTGTTGGTATCAGTAGTGGTTTGTCCAATCCAAGTCGTGATGATGACCAGCCTAGATATGATTGGCACGAGTAGAGCTATCCAAGCGGTAGTGATATCATGTTTAATAAAAACATATCGAGGAAGCTGAAAGAAAATTACTTGGTAAGAATCCAAGATGCCTATGATATTCCTGCATCAGTTAAACTTCGTCTACCATGATCGCACGAAAGGGTTTCATGGAATGTCCCAGGTTGGGTTTTTTTTTCTATGAGTTGCCATTTAAAGATGGCTTTCGATTTCCGATTCCCCGCGTGGTAACAATGATATTAGAGTATTTCAAGATTGCACCCAGCCAACTTATGCCTAACTCTTGGAGATTGCTTTTAGCACTTCAGGTCTTAATCGAGTGGCATGATATCTCATTTAGCATGCCAGAGCAACTTCATGGCTACTTTATCAGGGAGCACAATGGTGAAAAGGGCTATTTTTCCTTAAATGCAAGGAAAAATGTTGATCGATTGATAGTTGGCCTTTCTCTTGGGGATAAGGGCTGGAAAGGGTCTTATTTCTTGGTTTGGTCGGAGAGTTACCATTTTCCTTCAGCATGGTGGCTTGATAAGTTTTGCAGATCGTTTATTTTCAATACACTTTACTGATTTGAGGTTCTTATTTCATTTTCTTGCAAGTCTTCATAGCAACACGCGGCCAGTCGAAGGATTGTTCGTAAAAGAGCGCATTTTCAAGATCTTAGCGATACCTAAGGATCGGAGGGATTGCCAATTCCTTTTGTCTCCAAAAGTCCATTCTTCAAGCAGCTTGTGGGAGCACATTTCGACCGAACAAAGAGGTATTCCTTCCGATTTTTCAAGATATAAGATCCCTATTGTAATGGCAAAGAGAGGTATGGAAATTCTTGGCAGTAACCTTCTTATGATTGGCCCACTTAACTCAACCGACCGTGAGATTGCGGATCAACTTATGTCAAAAGTTGTACGATCTTTACTCGATGCTTTGGAAAGGAGAAGTCTAAAAAGGTTTCTTCTCATACGGTACTAGCTGACAACCCAGTTCCGTCCGATGGAGTTTCTAGCCAGACGGAGCTGCCCGATGCTCCTTTCCCTTGATCCGAAAACGCGATCGACTGGGGCCATTGTCGACAGATGATGACTCGATCCTACTTACCTTCCCATCGGACTCCTCCGTATTTTCTAACCCTAGGGTGGCTGCACTTGGTGAGGGACTTTTATTCCTTGAAGATCGAGTGCGTTATGAACAACTTGGTCCAGTTAAGGTAGTCGAAAACACGACGGCTCAGGCATTCCAGGAATACTATTTTTTTTTATACTTCTTTATGGATAACTCAATTGGTTGATTCTAGGTACTGCAAGGGGCTATCTTTCAGGAGAACAAAGCCGTTAGGCTTGGCTAGGAAGGTGCGCTCATTGCAGGATGCGAATACTTCATTGCGTGGGAAAATGAAAGTTTGAGGATAGAGAAGCAAGATGCTGATTTGGCTACTAGGAAGGCGCTGGATGAGCTAGGGGAGGTGGTTCGCTAGAAGCTTGCATTGGAGGAGAAACTTGCAAACTCGAAGAAATCTTCAGGGGATCAGATCACTTCTCTAGAAGACCGTTTGGAGAACTGCCAATTGGAAGTCGAGATAGCCACCCGGGCCTTTTTTATGAATGATTACAAGAAAGATAGGCACGTTAGCTGGGACGTAGATAAAGCTATTGCTGATTATGCGAAGTTGTGCCAGTTGCTTGGTATGTCGAATACATTAGAAGAGCGGCCCGAAGTTGGGGCTTCATCTGGTGATGGAATCGGGAATACCGATGATGGGCAGGTCAAGGTGCCTTTGGAAGCACGTTTTCCAAGTGTGCTTTTCGGCCATCATTTTCTTTCAAGCTTATGTATTAGTGTTTGTATGAGTCGTGTTTGAACTCATGTCTTTCCAAACTATATAATTTGTACACTTATTGGAGTTATGCACCTAACCGTCAAAAACTCGTGAAGTATCGAACATAGAATTTTATTTGTAATAGAAGCATGATCATAATATTGGAACAGAAATTGGACTTGTTTTCTCGTCATAAAAGATAAAGCAGACTTATCAAAGTACTTTTATAAAGGACTGGATCATACCAGTCCGTCTGATTTAGTAGGTAATTTTATTAGCTGCTCTGGAGACGGTTGAGTCTTCGTTTGGATCGGCCTCTCGGTTAGGGTAATGCTACCCTTGTCCAGCAATCTTGTGTTCTTATTCGTCCAAATGGCTTGAAGGCGACCACGTGGTCTTTTTCATCCAAATGACTCGATGAAATTTATATGCTTATTTCTCTTGACTCCAAAATAGCTTTCGATACCTGCATGAGATTTTCTTCCCCAAATTCAAGAATTCCCAAATCATTGGTGATGAGAAAAGTCTGATATCTGATACATTTCTCCCTTTGGTGAATCTCCTGAGAGCAAAGAGGGTTAGGACCGCCGATGACATTTTTGCCATCGGCTCTCTGATGCTTAAGTCAGTACGGATTTTGAATGAAGATAAAAATACCAAATAAAAAAGAAGAGTTTTAGAAGACTTAGAAATAATGTTTGTGGGCGTGGATGGCGCTCCAGCTTGACACTTTCTCGTCGATTCTCCTGAAAGCAGATAAGGTTAGGATCATTGAAGGCATTTCTGCCATCGCCTCTCTGATGCTTAAGTCAGTACGGATTCCGAATGAAAATAAAAACACCAAATAGAAAAAATAGTTTAGAAGACTTAAAAATAATATTTTCAGAGGTGGATGACGTTCTAGCTGTTGGTGATATCTCTACTGTCTTGGGTGCATAGCTTATAGGCTCCTTGCCCGACGACCTTAGTGATCAGGTACGGTTCTTTCCAAATTCCTGCAAGCTTTCCGGCACCGGCTTCCTTGGTATTTTGAAATACTCTTCGCAGCACCCACTCGCCTTCTTTGAAAGTTCTAGTTCTAACCGACCTGTTGAAATGTTGGGTGATTTTTCGTTGATATGCAACTGTATGAATCAAAGCTCTTTCTCTTCGTTCATCTGCCAAATCTAACTCGTGGCACAATTCGACTTGATTCTGCTCGTCAGTTGTCCATTCATACCGAAATGTTGGAGTGCCTATTTCTATTGGTATGACCGCTTCCATACCGTGAGCCAACGAGAAGGGCGTTTCACCAGTGGGTGTTCGAACGGTGGTGCAATAAGACCAAATGACACCGGGCAACTCCTCTGCCCATTTTCCTTTAGCCTCAGATAGTCTTTTCTTTAACGTGTTCACGACAATCTTATTGGAAGATTCTGCCTGACTATTGGCTTGGGGATATCGCGGAATGGAGAAGTTTAGTTTGATGTTCCACTCTTTTTACAGAAATTTTGAAACCCGGTGCTTATGAACTGTGTCCCATCGTCCGTGACCGTTTCCTTTGAGACTCCAAACCTGCATATCACATTTTTTCAGATAAATTGGATAACTTCACGATCACGTACCCAGGGGCGAATCTAGGATTTTAAGTCAGTACGGACGACCGTCAATCGTCATCACAATAAGATATTATGAGCCAGTTTGATGCTCTTTTTAAAAAAAATGCATTTTGGAATAGTGATTTGATGGAGAAAGTGTTATTAAAAATAAAGAATAAATTTGAATTTGTATGTAATATTATTTTATTGAAAAATGTGTGGTTGAAAAAATGTATTTTGAAAAAACAAAAAAAGAAATGAAATGAAACATGGCCTAAAATTTAAATATAACAATTATTTTATTCAAAATGAATATATATAATTTTGTTATATATATGAACAGTATTTACCAAATGATATTGTTGCCGAGTTCTCCATAATTCAAAGGAAGAGCAATCTTTACATCATTTGAAAAATAATTCATAGTAATTCAAGTTATATTTTTAGATACCTATTTTTGCAATTTCATTCTCGTCTACATATCCAAAAAATCACTATATATTCATTCGGCAAAAAATTAACATATATTATTCTGTTGAATTAAATTTCAACATTCAGCAAGTGCCACAATGGTTTGGCTCTCCATTATGCTAAAGAGAGATGGTAGGTTCGAAACCTCTCCATATTTCATTAATTTTGGTAAAAAGGGTAGAAATAAAAATATTGTACTAAAAATTGGTTGGGAAGAGATTTGAACTCCAGACTTCCAATGTGAATTGGCAACCTCCAACCAATTGAGTAACAAGAGATGGATGGAAATAAAGTGAATTACCAGTTATATAAGTTTAAAAGTTTATCTATTGTCGACAACAAAAATGGCTCCCGACGGATCCAGCTAGGGCGGCTGCCCTAGCTTGCCAACCCCTGGATCTGCCCCTGCATGTACCTTTGAGAGTGCCTCGACTTCATTCCATTTCGTGAAATAGTCCATGACTGCCAACACGAAAACTCGTTGTCTTGGAGCAGCGGAGAGTTTTCCATAATGTCCATCCCCCATTTCATGAACGGCCAAGGTAAAAGAACGGGGTTGATCCATTCTGGTGGAAGGTGGGAGACATTGGCGAATCGTTGGCATCTGTCACATTTTTTGATGTGATTAACAGAGTCGGTCCGCATTGTTGGCCAATAGGACCCAGCGGTAAGTGTACGATGCGCTAGGCTCCAGGCTCCCGAGTGATTACCACACTCCCCTTCGTGAAGTTTAGCCAAGACATATTTGACCTTTGCGTTGCTGATGCATCGAAGATAGGGTCCAAAGAATGATCTCCTATACAGCTTACTGTCTATAATGTAAAATCTCGAAACCTTAGCTTTAGTTTGTCGAGCTTCATTTTTGTCTGGTGGCAACTCGTCATTTTGTAGATTCCTGATGATCGGTGTCATCCAAGATTGTTCCTCGAATGAATAAATAATATTATTCTCGTCGGATTTTCGAACTGCTGGCCATTGCAAGTAAACTATCGGGATTACCTTACTTTGTTTCGTATTCGTAGTTGCTTCGAGGCTGGCTAGTGCGTCTGCTTGGATGTTTTTAGTTGGTGGGACTTGAGTGATATGGAACTCATCAAACTCTTTGCAGAGTTGCTTGGCCAACTCTAGGTAGGATGCTATCTTTGTGTCTTTGGCAAGGAAAGTGCCCTGTATTTGGTTTACAATGAGCTGAGAATCGTAGTAGACGTGTATTCGGGTTATTCCGATCTCTTTTCCTAAGACCAGTCCAGCAATGAGTGCTTTGCACTCTGCCTCGTTGTTGGTTGCCTTGAATTCATACCTAACCGCCTGCTGTATTTGATCTCCTTCCGGTGATGTTAAGAAAATGCCAAGTCCTGCGCCATTTATGTTTCTCGACCTGTCTACCTGGAGCATCCATATGTCCATTACTGGTCCATCTGCCAAGCAGAGAAGTTCTCTTTGGGCCAAAACTTGTGAGTTAGGTGCAAAATCAACGATGAAATCTGCGAGTACCTAAGATTTGATAGCAGTACGGGGTACAAAGGAAATATCGTATTCACTTAATTCGACGGCCCATTTGGTTAGTCGTTTGGACAACTCGGGCTTATGGAGTATTTGTTTTAGTGGAAATGATGTCACGACTACTATCGAATGACTCTGGAAGTACGGTCTTAGCTTTCGAGTTGCACTAACAAGTGATAAGGCTAATTTCTCCAGTTGGCTATAGCGGGTTTCTGCATCCAGTAATGCCTTGCTAACATAGTAGATTGGGAGTTGCTTTTCATCTTCTTGGCGGACCAAGACTCTACTAACCGCCGTCTCCAAAACTGCCAAGTACATTATAGTTGTTCTCCATCTTTCAATTTTGACATGAATGGTGGTGATGTCAGATATTGTTTGAGTTGCTGAAGCGCTTCTTCACATGCCGGGGTCCATTCGAAAGTTTTATTTTTCCTTAATATGTTTAGAACTTTTGACATTTCTCTAAAGATTGGGAGATGAACCTATTAAGAGCTGCAAGCCTTCCAGTAAGCCTTTGAATTTCCTTGATACAAGTTGGAGATGGAATGTTAATGATTGATTGGATTTGGTCCAAATTTGCTTCGATTCCTCGTTGGGTTACTAGGTAACCTAGAAACTTGCCTGAGGATACTCCGAATGAACACTTGAACGGATTAAACATCATGTTGTACTTCTTTAGAACCTCGAAAGACTGCTTAAGGTGGTCTATGTGTTGCTTTGCAATCAAAGACTTCACCAGCATATCATCGATGTAGACTTCCATGGATTTTCTGAGTTGCTCAGCGAACATATGATTTACCGGTCGTTGATAGGTTACTCCTGTGTTTTTGAGTCCGAATGGCATAACCTTGTAATAGAATGTGCCTCGCTCTGTCACGAAAGCGATTTTCTCTTGGTCAGCTGGGTGCATCAATATCTGGTTGTACCCAGAGAAAGCATCCATAAAGCTTAGAAGCTAATATCCAGCTGTCGAATCGACCATCATGTCTATATGTAGAAGAGGAAAGCTGTCCTTTGGACATGCCTTATTTAGGTCTGTGAAATAGATGCAAACTCTCTACTTACCATTCTTTTTTTTTTCACCACGATGACATTAGCTAGCCAGTCTGGGTAGTTGACTTCTCATTTGAAACCTGCTTCCAAAAGCTTTTGGACCTCTTCATTAATGATACAGTTTCGTTGCTCAAATCTTCTTCGCTTCTGTTTGATCGGAATGTAGTGGGGATCAACATTCAATTTGTACGTTATTACCTTCGGGTCAACACTGGTCATGTCAGTGGGACCAAGCGAAATAGTCATGGTGTTCCATGAGGAACTTGATAAGGCGCTGCCTGAGCTCTGGTTCTAGCTTTGCTCCGACTTGAGTTTTGTGATCTGGAAAGTCGGGGTGGATCTGTACTTCGTCTAGTTCTTCCACATCTTGTTGGTCTGGGATGGTCGGCTGGGATTGCTGTAATTGTTATAAAGAAGATCGGTCAGAGCGGAGTGAATTCTGGTAGCACTCCCTGGAATCCCTTTGGTCACCAAGAATATCTCTTATTCCCCATTTGGTCGGGAAACGGAGTACCTAATGAAACGTTGATGGTACGGCCTTCATTTCATGGATCCAATGCCTCCCCAAGATAACATTATATGATGAAGGACTATCCATTACGAGGAATTGGGTGTGAAGGTTAACCCCTACTACATAAACAGGCAAAACAATCTCGCCTAGAGTATTCTTTTGTTCACCGCTGAAACTAATTAGCACTATCGTCCGGCGTGTAATGTTTTCTCCTAGAATTCTCATAGCCTTAACGGTCTCCAGGAAAAGTATGTTTACATTGCTGCCGTTGTCTATCAAAATGCATTTGACTAAGCAGTTGGCGATGTTCAAAAATATAACCAAAGCATCATGGTGTGGATTGAGTAGCTACGTAGCTTCAGATGTCGTAAAGCTAATGATTTGCAGTGTGTCTGACTGGCTTATTTGGCTTAGATTTTGACAGAGGTGAGTTGCTCGAAGCGCTTGCCTTCGTGCCGTTGCCCTTGTTATCCCACTAACTTCCAATCTGTCAACGACGAAGTTAATGGTTCGATCTTGTGATAGTGCGGTCGTTGGTTTGTAGCTTTGGTTATCGTGCTATTGTTGTTGTCGTTTGGCGACGTTTTCCTTTCCTTTATTGGTTAGAAGGTCTGTAAGACGCCCCTGCTTCAATAGTTCAACTATTTCCAACCTCAAAGCAATACAATCATCTGTACGGTGGCCATGGTCATCATGAAACTCCCACCATTTACTTTTATCTCGCTGGTCACTAGAGCTTCTCATCTTTCCAGGCCAATTCATTGTGCTGCCCATTCCCTTCAATACTGTAATTAATTCTGTTGGCCTGATAAAGAGGTTGTATTCGGGGACCCCAATCTTCGTCCTTGCGGAAGGTCGTTCAATTAGTCCGGACAGTTCCCTACGTTTGGTGTCTCTCCTGTCCGGAGGGGAATAGGTATCAGCGGGCCATTTCTCGGCCTTGTTTGGTTATCGCGACTCTTCTCGATGGGTTGACGTCTGGTGAAATTAAAATTAGCATCATCCTCTTCTCATTTAATCTGAGCCCAAGCTTTAGCCAAGACATCCTCCATTGTGTTGCATGGGTATTTGGTGAGTTCCTTATACAAATCAGTGTATGGGAGGAGCCCCTTTCGAAACGCAGAAATAGCAGTTTGTTGGTTACAGCTAGGGATGGAAATTTTCTCCCGATTGAATCGTTCGACAAATTCCCGCAATGACTTATTTCCTCTTTGCACTATATGATAGAGGCCGTCAGATCGCTTCTCTAGTTTTATGCTACTTGCAAACTTTTCAACAAAAGTATCAGTTAGTTGGGCGAATGATGATATAGAATTATTTGGAAGATTGGTATACCACTGTAGGGCCGGCCCCACTAGACTGGAGCCGAACCCTTTACACATGCAAGCTTCTTGAAGGTCTTTTGGAATAGCGACGGTAAACATTCTCTGTCTATATTGAGCTATATGATCATCTGGATCGGCTGTCCCATCGTATAACTTCATATTAGGAAAGCTGATTTTTTTTGGCATTTTCACCAGGGTAATTTCGTTGACAAGGGGAGAGTCGGCGAAACAACTGGTTGTACTTTTCTTGATAGGCGCTGGCATCCCTGGGATACGTTGAACCATGACTTTGATCACTGCTAATTTTCGTACGAATTCTAGGTCCTGCCCACTAGTAGGCTGTGGTTGCGCGTCTTCTGATCCTCCGTTAAGCAGTACGACAAATTGGACATTCGAACCAATGGTCCTAAGTCCATTTTGGTCAAGTGAAGGAGTCGACTGTGATGGGTGTGGCAATGTTGAATCGTATCCCAAGGATTCCACTCTTTCTTGAAGGTATCGATTCTCCACACGGATGGTAGCATTCTCCGCTTCTAGCCTTTCGAGCTTTTGTGAATTCTGTTTTGTCAACTCGATGAGTTGGGCTAGCTGTGCAGTGACTTTACCAGACAGAGTGGTAGGTTGAGGGTGTGTAGAGGCAGGATGGACAGTACTCTGCTGGAGAACTACCGGCTGGATTGCCTGGATGTTTGTTGGATGGATAGGACGAGCCAAGGTTTGAGTGGTAGGCAGAGTGGTAGCATGACCTGAGCTATCTCCTTGTTGCATTATTGCTTCCACCTCCTGACGAATCATTCATTTTGCTTCCTAACAAGCTAATTCTTCCGATGTATAATTAGCGAAGTTGTCTGTACGATGGGTTTCAGAAGTTCTTGACATGGCGAGGATAATTGTCGAATAGTAATGATGAAAGTCCCGTTTGTAAGAATGATTGCTAAGGCCCTACGGTGGGCGCCAAATTATAGACGGTAAGTTCTACAACCAAGAAATCGAATCAGATAGGCCACCAGCAATCCTGTGGAACTTAAGAAAAATAGAACAAAGGAAAATGACCGTAAAAAGATCTTAAAAGGACACCGGTGTGGTGTTGGTTGAAGATCCTCCTACGGTCAAGTCAGTAAATCTTGTTGAAAGTTTGATAAATACCCGATGGAAAAAAGAAAAAAATGAATTAGAGTCTAGTGGATTCTAATACCTGAATGCTTGACCGACTGTTGAATTTATAGGAGTAGGATAACCGTCTAGGAGGGATTGGCGGGAATTCTCCAAGATTTCATGGTTGGTTGGAGCCAAATCTAATCCGATCTGTTCAGTTGAGATATCAGATCCGTTTGTAGATAACTCTCACCAGATCTGGATAGATAGTAACGTGATCTATCTGGAAGATATATTATTGGAGATTTCGAATTGACATGTAGGTCATGGATTGTGTATTCGAGTCGATTGTTATATGAGTTGGGCCGATGATGACGCGGTTGAATCGTATGTGGACCCTATTCTATGGTTTGGGCCACTTGGGCTAGTAAATTAATTTTTACCACTACAATTGTTTAGTTAAAAAATTGAGAATTTCACGAAATACGTTATTAAAATTAATTGTTAACTTTAGAATTGAACTTAAATTAAAATTTTATTCTTCATCAAAAACACTAGGTGCATGCTTGAGCCCCATTTTCAGCAAAAAATGCATTTTTGGAATAGTAGATTTATAGAAAATGTGTCATTAAAAAAATATGAAAATGTTCTGAATTTATTTATAATATTATTTTATCGAAAAGTGCATGATAGAAAATGGGAGAAAAAATGAATTTTAAAAATAATGGGAATGAAACATGACATATGGATGCAAAAGTATTTACAAAACTAACGGTGGTTTAAGCCCCGTTTCGCCACTATTTTTTGAAATGAAAATTGATGGAATAATAGTTTTTTTTTAAATAAATGATTGAAAAAGGAAGAAAAATTTTCGATTACGTGTGATATTATTTTATAAAAAGTTATGTGGTTGAAAATAAGAGTAAAAAAATGAAGTAGAATTTAACTTGTCCAAACGGGGCTTAATCTTAAAAACAAATTGAAGGATAAGGGGAATGGAAAATATCGGATAAGATTCTTGTATATCATCATCATCAACTTTTTTCACCATTTGCCCTCCTCCTCCGTACCCAGAAAAGGGGTTCTTTTCAAGAAATTCTGAATAATTCTTGGTGGGAATGTTAACTTCAACATCTCTAAATGTAGGCTCTTTGGGTGGCCTGATATTGAATGCACCCACCCACAATTCCCACAAATCTTTCTTAGTCCCTGCAACAAAATCATTCCATTTGTTAATTTCCCCCACTAAACTCAGTGGCGCCACCGCCTGGAAATCTGCCACCTCCGTAAAAACAGCCGTAGCCGCGGTGGATTCCTCTGATCCCACTGAAAAGGTCAGCCACTTGTTTCTTATTTCACTTTTACATATCAAACCATTACCATTATAATTGTCTGCAGTGTTACTAGCCTTTTTTACACCGTATCAAATGAGTTTGGGATAAGGTTTTATTAAGTTGAGTCCAGTCAATATTGGTTTGATTGTGAGATTAGCATTGTTTGGATAATTTTGAGAAAATTTGTTCCTAAACATATTCTAATAAGTTGGTGTTATCTTATAAGTATAAAATACTTATTTTGACGATATGATGGAAGTAGACTCACTTATAAGTTATTTTTTTTAAGCTTAGACAAACAAGCACATCTGCACATGGTAATTCTAAAACTTGCAATTCTAAAATTTTCTTCCCAGGAACAGGAGCAATCTGGGAAGAGGAAGTATTATTTTGTTGTAGCGAATGCAAAATTCATGTTGGATGAGGAAGAGCATTTCAAGGAGCTAATGTTTGAGCGCCTTCGGAATTATGGAGAGCGTAACATAGAGCAGGATTTCTGGCTTTTGATTGAACCAAAGTTCTTGGATAAGTTTCCAGATATTACCAAGAGACTAAAGAGGCCTGCCGTGGCCCTTGTTTCTACCAATGGCCCCTGGATAACGTAAGAATACACATTCAAAACTTAAGTGATTATTGATTTATTTCTTATTAAAATGTTTGGTCTAAACCTAATTGCTTGATTCCAATATGTGGTACTTGGAAAGATAATTTTGATCATCACTCTTTTTAGAACTCCACCTATGTTTTCCAAAGCATGGCCTAGGTTGACCGTTAGCATATAACTTGATCAAATCTTACTATACGAGTCCCTATACATATTTTGTTGGGGGTGTTCCACTCAACCTCGATCAACGCATTGCTAATAATCTAGTTGCTTTGGATCTTCTAGTTGTTGTACAACCACTCTTTTAGCTGCCTCTTTCTTGACTTTATAAAGGCCCTGACCACCAAAGATCATCACATTGCCACATTGTTACCATGGTCCTAATAATACTTGCAAAGAACTGTTGAAATGAGTGTGCCTACTTTAAGATTCCACATTTGAATAATTAGAATCATTCTAAATCCTTGGGTTTTGCATATGGATAGGTACATGAAACTAAGACTCGACCGGGTTTTGCAAGAAAGCTACGAAGCTGACAGTATAGAAGAAGCTTTAGCTTCTAATCCTGTCGATCTTGCCTTTGAAAAGCCAGAGAAGTGGACGGCTCCGTACCCTAAGTATGAATTTGGGTGGTGGGAGTCGTTTCTACCCTCCAAGATATCAAAGGTATGAAGCAACGCTCCTGTAGAATTTCTTGTGTGACAGTATCTTGCAATTCCGAAACTTTGTCACAGTTGTTTGTTGGTAGGTAATTAATATAAGAAACTCCTGAATTATAAGAAATGATTTGTAGATTCTACTGTAAGGCTGCAGGAAAAGGCATATAGTGTATGAATTATATTGAGTGGCTTTATGTAGACAAACCTCTGCAGTTTTATCTACTAATACCTTATTAAGGTTATTGAGGCCGAGACCATTGTGAGCTGAATACTATAATTTTGAGTTATCTTGTTCAGATATGACAAGCAAAGTGAATGACCTGGACCATTTTACTAAGGACTTGTTATGTGGATAATTTGGATTAGCAACTTGTCAAAAAGAGATTTTTTAGTTCGTATCAAGTAACCCATAAGGTAATTCCGAGGCTCCATACAAAAACATAAACACAATTCCATCACTAGACATTTCTTCATGATATCTTTCAATGAGACAATTCTGGATGATTTTGTACTGTTATCTCGTTTCAACTTGATTAATGGAAACTCCTCCCGCCCACCTCTTTCATGGATGAAAATAAAATCTTATACCTGAGTATTTACAAATTTTTTTCAATCTCTTAACCAGAAGTAAGAATATCTTCCATAGAGCATAAAGAGAATATCAGTGTTTCGTAGAACTCCAATGCACAATACTATATCAGTGAAATCATGCTTAGTTTTATGGTACAAGCAATGATAGATCAGTTCTTTGCGATTACCATAAAGTTTGAAGAACGTATATTGGAGAAATAACCCAAAAAGAAAACCAAGTCATGACCTGAGTTAAGAGAAAATGAAAAATGCAATTGATTGGTTGTTGCTACTGTATTGAAACATAAAAGCACTTTAACCAAGGTAGAATAATACTCGTAGCACTTCTAGCATCAGAAAATAAAGCTGATAAATCCTCAGAGGGTAGCTTTTGCATTATTATTAGTGATGCTTATTGTACATGATGAAAGGAATTTTGGGTAATTTCTGAAGGACTTTTTGTCCAACATGCCATATTGTTTCTTGAGTTTGTCTGTTGCCTTCCGAGCATAAGAATCAACTCAGTCTTTGTACTTTTCATACAACAATGGCATGGTCAAGAGCATCCCAAATACTGCCAGCATAGAAATACGAGGCACTGTTATAAATATGCTAAAGATGCCAAACTGATGTACTTTGTGCATTTTTTTGTTTGCTCTCTCTTCTCTGCCTCCTCTTCCTCGTCCCTTTTTTTCCTAGTAGACTAGTTTCTTTACTCAAAAACAAAAAATGGAAAAATCTCCTCATCTTCCAGGGTACCGATTTGGCACCCCCTGTTGGAGGGAAGGGGGGGGGGGGTGATCCTCCAATCTAACTTTGCATCATCCTGGTTCCTACTACTGCTGAAAAAACATTCTGTACATTGTGTTAACATAACTAAATAAAATTCTGCACACTCCAAAATGCTGTCCAGAGTTCTAGTAACCCTTTTTACCTCTCACAAACTCAAAAGTTAAAAGCAAAACAAATAAAAAAGGGAAAAAAGGAGCAGCATATGCTAAAAGATCTCGTCTCGAATGAGGGTTGACAGGAAGAATACTCGCTGATGTATACTAGGGTCAAGAAGTCGAACCAGCTGCCGACTGGTGACTGTAGACGCAACCCACAAGCCGAAAACCGCCTGCATTTCAGTTTAATATAAACTTTATTATCATAAAAGTTCGATGTGACAGTGGGGCTTGGGAATAGAACCCAGATCCAGTACGAAATCCCTGTACATATCTTAAGAAATAAAGGTTGAAGCCCAATTTTGAGGGCCTTCACCGTTACACCCCTAGAACTTTATATCTTAAGAAATATCAAATATGTGACAGAGCTCATTAGGTGAAAAATGTACACAGATATATCTTCAAATCATTTCCTTAAGCTACTTAGTGAAAGATACCAATTGCCTGGTTACATCTATTCCTCAATAAGAGTGCAATATTCGTGCACAAGTCACCTGGTAATACAATCTGTGGAAAGTTCAAAGCCGACCTAACCATAGAACCTAGTAAAAAACACACAAGTATGAATCAATATGGCAACGAACAGCACAAAATAGATAAAAAGAAACTGTATAGTCACTTCCTATTGATAATACTAGAGTAGAGAAAAATGATATGAACCATGTAACAATGAACAGGACAAAATGAAGAAAAAAGATTCGTATAACCTCGACCTATCAATGGTACTAAGTAGGGAAAAACATAGTACGATCAATGATTGCAATGTAATGGTGAAAAAGAAGAAGAAGATTTATTTAGCCCGTCAGACCTATCCATAATACAAAGAAGGGAAAGACGATGGTATGGAATGACGATGCGATGAACTACACATAATGATTAAAGAGAAATCATGGAGTTGATCTCAAAATTGATTAACGGAAGATACTCACCGGTTAACGGAGTAGGACAACTGACAAGTTGGACCATAAGAAGAGACTAGCCAAAGAAAGAATAAGAGAATGACAAAGAAAAGTTATCAAATGATAGCCTATCCATTCAAACAGAAGCCATATAACAATTGAACCAGCAAGCAAACCTCCAGACTTCTGCTTGTTCCTTCGAAGTACAACGTCCGCAGCTGCAAAATTAACCGTTGCCCACATTTTTGTTCGAATTTATTTCTAGTCTAGAATGAAATTTTTTCGAATTTCAGATTCGTCTAGGTTTGTAAAAATACGTAGTAACCAGAAGGGAAAAGTCAATTTTAACCTCAACAATAATGGCCTATGGTCGACTTCTAACCATGGATATTAACTTACGTTTGCCACCGCTGAAAGCCTTATGAATCAGTTTCTGGCAGCCGAAAAGATGAAACTTCTCCTGACTTGTATGTTCATCATTGGTGGTGGAAGAAGAGGGAAAAGAATAGTAATGGCCATGGCCATTATTAAGCCCGAATTCATGAACCTCTTCCATTGAAGAATATTCAGAACAGTTCCAATTTCATCACCTGTTACTGGATCCAACATCTTAGTTCTTCCTGCACTGAAATGAAATCCAAGAAATATAAATGGAAATTTCCTAAAAAACTTCAAAGATGCATGAAACTTTATATCTTTCAGTATTCACACACATTTGCATGCAGCATCTTAAAGATCAAAGAAAAATTCACACACAGAGTAACATGCACGAAAATTTCAGAAAATTGATGGGTTTTGCCCCTTGAGATTTGGGGTAGTACTTTGGGTTTAGTTATTAATTATTATTGAAGATCTCTAATTTGGAAGAATTTTATTATTATTATTATTATTATTATTATTATTATTATTATTATTTTTGTTCTGTTGAATAAGATATTATGTCACTGGATAACTGAATAATTCAAGGAACCTAACGGATACTAGCAAATTTTGACCCCCCAAAATCGCACGTCAACCTATTTTTCAGAATATCATTTTTACTCAACGAATTGTGACAGAGGATAGCTTTCTTGCAACTTGTGATGACTGTTGTATCACCTCGCCACAATCTTCGAACCTTTCTTGTGTTTTCACTTGCCAACATCGAAAAATATAGTAATAATCATCACGAAAAACAAATTGAAATATTTGAAAATTTTGTACGAGAACTATGTATTTAACAGTAATAGTTTTACATGACTCCTCGTCTCAGCCATCATCAATATAGTCTTTTGATTATGGTTCAATTGCTATCATCTTATGAATCAAGCTTTTCTTCTTAGCTTTGATGATAATGCTCACATGACAACTAACGAAGATGTCAATGAAATGTAGAAGACTAACTTGCTTATTATAAAGATTAATGAACAATGATGCAAATTTTCAATCTCTTCGATGAGGAACAGAACGAACTACTTTTGTATTGCACAACATCTTGAACACGGTAATTCCTATAGAACTAAGTACTTTTACAACTTCTTCAAATATAAGTTAACACCATTGCCAGGCTCTATCACCAAACTCAAAGCAGGAGAGTGAATATAAGTTGGTGAAAGACTGAAGCTGAAGTTGGACAAAATTAGAGCAATAAGCACTTTGAGTTCAACCAATGCCAAATTCTGTCCCAAACAAACCCTAGGGCCAACCCCAAATGGCATGTACAAATGTGGAAGTTTGCATGCACCTGTGATCCCATTTACAAACCTATCCGGGTTGAAATCGTACGAGTCGGGGCCCCATATTTCTGGATTCGTATGTAGTGTCAAGACAAAGGTCCAGACATTTACTCCTTTGGGAACATTAATGTTGCCAAATTTCATGTCCTTGAAAGCTTCTCTTGAGACAACTGCCACTGGAGGGTAAAGGCGTAATGATTCATTGATCACCATTGTTAGCTGTAAATTTACATAAAAAGATTGGCAGTCAGTGTATGATATATGTAGGTATACACGAAGTTATCTCGTCTTCTTTTTTTTCTTTTTTCTTTTTTTAAAAAAAAAATCAAACTGTTACATGTCCTGCATGTGATATCTTTTCTAACAGTATATGTGTCAATAATGTCTATATTTTTGTCACATAACTAAAAGAGCGGAAAAAGGAAAGGAAGAAGAGGAAAAGAAAAAGAAAAAGACCTTTCCCCACCGGCTCCTACACACAAAAACCCTTCGGATTTTAGAATCAGGAGCCTTAGAGGTGGAGGAAATTGCGTGTTAGGGGATAGATGAAATTGATAATTAACGTATAAGAATATGAGCTACTCTTTTGACAAAATTAACGTGTTATCATGAAACTTCAAGTTTTAGGCTCTTTTGGCATGGCTTGAAAAGTCAAATTCTACTTCTCATTCGTCATAGAAAATTAAGAAGCAATCCAGGAAAAAAAAATTATAAGTCGACGATGCATACTAACCAGTTTCATCTTTCGGATCATATCAGAATCCGGGATTTGGCCCTTGCAAATTTCGACAACCTCTGCTCGAGCTCGTTCCTGCCACACCGGATTCGAGGCCAAAAGCATGAGACACCATGTAGCTGAAACAGCAGTAGTCTCATATCCAGCCAAGTAAATGTTTTTACAGTTATCAACAATGAATCGATCAAGAACATCTGGGCTTAATTCACTGTTTTTTGCCCCTTCAAGAAGCATTTGCAATAAGTCCTTTTCGAACCCGGCTTCCTTTCTTTCTTTTACTACCTTCAGAATTAAGGTACGGATGTCCTTTTCTAGTGCCCATGTCTCTCTGTTGCTCTTTGTAGGAAGATATCTGTCACATGGTACATAGGACTTTGTTACTTCCATGTTTTCCACATCAAAAAGTTATGTTTGTACTATTCGAATCCTAGTTGGTTGGTTAGGTCGGGTATTACGGAAACACTAACTAATTTCCCATTTATATACAAAGCCCCATGACAGTTTGATGTAGATTTTTAGCAAATAAAGTTGTAAGAGTTATTGCTCTGGGTCGTATGGAATGAGGGTTTCTAATTCTCAACTAAAGAACTTTCCACGATGGTTTATATGAGTTATTTATGAACCGTTACTTTTTATAACCCTAAAAATTTTATTTGATATTTAATTTTAAAAAAAATCATTTACTATATCGTTTATTCAATTAGACTCATCTTCACGCTCCGGATTATATTATAACTTTTGAATAAAAAGTCAAACAATATTATTTAGTACCATCTATTACATTTTATACTAAATTTTTTGTACGATTTAATTTGATGCACCAAACGCAAAATTCTTTTGCATACGTCTTTTCGTGGACCATGTTAGGCTAAGTTTAAGTCAATTGAGTAAATATTTTTTTACTTATTTAATCATTAACAAACTTATTATAAGCAGATTTTTATTCTTAGCCATCAAACATGCACACAACCCAATTAAAATGGACACTACCTTTGACCATTTGAAAAACATTTCAAAGTGTTCCACCGAAACCATTTTGCTTTCTTGTCTATTTTAGGTCTAAATCAATCGTGATGTTAGATGGTAAGAAAAATTTCTCTTGGGTCACGGGGGTGCCTATATTTGTCAAGTTGAAATTTTAATTACAAGTACCCACAGTTTTCGACTTTTGATAAACAAACTCCACTATATCGGATAGAAATTTGGTGTGAATCCTTTGCCGAAGTATTGATGCTAAAGTTTGAAAAGAAGTAATGTTATTTATTATATTATTTAATTTCATTTAATATTAGTATCAATTATGCATTTGAAAACTAAGCCAACATTGTTAATCAATATAATTAGGTAGGGTGGTAAATGAAACGGATCTTCCCAAATTTGATTCGATCTGTTAAGAATAATTATTCGATCTAATACGATAATTCAACAAATATTTGATTGTTAAATCCATATTCGATTTGCTATTGATATTGGATGGCGTAGATAGTCGTCTGCGATAACGAACAAGATAAGACATTACACGCTGACGTAAGACTGTCAACCCCCCAAGGGCACTCAACCTCAATGCGAGACCATCGACCCCTCGTGAAAGCTCCACCCATACACAAGATCGTCAACTGGCATGGAATTACTTACATGACCATCCCAATACTTAGTCATAAAATATCTGATGAATTGACAAGGTTCCATGGTGGTTACCACAGACACAACCTCCAGACGGGAAGTTAAAGACCCCCCACTCAAAACGTGGGGTGGGGGAAAAGCCAACGTGGGACACTTAGCACCACGACAGCCCGACATACACCTTGCTTTCGGTGTCTATAAATACTTCCAAAGGCGACACAGGTATGGGAGATAATATTTTTCTTAGCCATCTGAATTCCGTCCTTATTTTCCAAATATCATATACGGATTATCACGCCGGAGGTAAAACGGGGGAGAAAGCTCCGTCCTCATTTTTCAAGTTACACACACTCAACGGAGTAACAGAAACGCCAAACTTCACCAGGTAGACAATGAGGTATTATTCCGCCACCATTTCAGCTATATTGTCGGATATCCAATCCAATAATTCGATTCGAAATTGAAAAAATAGAAAGATAAAATTTTATATTAGTCAACTTCTAAGTCCTAGAATTAGAAGGCTCATATAGCTTTTTACCCAATTCTGTCCACCTATTTATAGATCATAAAAATTTATGATATTTTAGTGAATATCCGATGTGGAAAGTGAGAAGTTTGGAATAATAAAATCAACTTCAACTATCGACTCACTTGGTGTTTAATTTATAAAATTAATTAATTAATATTATTTTTATTAATAAAAAATTTAAATCTCTTCGATTATTTCAATTAACAATATTATACTATTATTTAACATTATTTATTATTTGAAAATTATGTATAAAGTATAATACAAGTTTCAAAATGGAAAAAATTGTGTAATAAATTATGCGATAATATATGAAATATATTATATTATTATAATAAATCAGGTCGAGTTGTTATCGGATCGGATTAACATATATTCATATTCGTTTTATTTAGTTAACAAATTATTGGATTCGAATTTTGATCGAATTATCAAACTAAGACCCTAAATTCATTTTCCATTAATTTTATCGAATTTGGATCAAAATTTAATCCATTGACAGTCGTAAAATTAGGTCTCTTGGACAAATGTTTTTTTCATTCCCTGAAACATGATAAATAGAATGGTAATTAAATTAAATTTCTCGGTCAAAGTCTTTTGCCTGATTTTACCTCCATTTGTTTCTTTGAGGTTACTGACCGACCTTTCTACGAATCATTTCATACACATGCATGATGACCTTAGTTAGATTTCATGATTTTCGTACTATTTTATGTTGAAGATATAAATCAAATAAATTTTTTATCTTTAGAAGGCGTGGCTCAAAGTAAAGATCTTAGAGCATGTATCAATATTAATTTTACCTCCATTTGTTTCTTTGATGTTATTTATTGACCTTTCAATCGTTGGATTTTGCTCCTCTGCCAGACCTGGTCATGATCCAGTAGAGGAGTCTCTCTCACAGCAATAGGTCCCCATTATTAAAAAAATGTCAAAAAACACACATCCCCACCCCCAATTGTGAGTGGAGCTGCTCTACCAGATCATTACTAGATCTGGTAGAACAACACGGTCCTTCAATCGTTTCACACGCACACGCATGGATGACCTTCGTCAGATGTCATGATAGTCTTACTATTTAATGTTGAAGATATAGATCAAAAAATAAAATCTTCTTTTTGAATTTTTATAAGTCATGGTTCAAAATAAAGGTCCTGGAGCATCTACCGATATTAATTTTACCTCCATTTGTTTCTTTGATGTTATTTATTGACCTTTCTTTAAATCATTTCACCCGCACATTCATGGATGACGTTCGTTCAATTTCATGATAGTTGTACTATTTTATGTTGAAAATATAAATCAAAAAATAAAATCTTTTTTTTTTTTTGAATTTTTAGAAGTCATGGTTCAAAGTAAAGCTCTTAAAGCATGTATCGATATTGACTTTACCTCAGTTTTTTTATTTGATGTTATCGATATTTATTTTACCTCAATTTGTTTCTTTAATGTTATTTATTGACCTTCCTTTAAGTCATTTTACACACACACGTCTGGATGACCTTAGCCAAACCTCATGGTAATTTTACTATTTTGTGTTGAAGATATAAATCAAATAAATAAATTCTTCTTTTTGAATTTTTAGAAGTCGTGGTTCAAAATAAAAGCAATAATGCATATATCAAAATTGATTTTACCACTATTTATTTCTTTCAAGTTATTTGTTGACCTTCTTTAAATCATTTCACACACACATGTAGACATGCATGGATGATTTTCTTTAAATTTCACGATATTCATACTATTTTGCATTGAAGATATAGATAAACTAAATAATTTTTTTAAGTTATTTGAATTTTCCTAAGTCGTGGTTCAACGTAAAGGTCTTAGAGCATATAAAGATTTAAGGATCATCTATTTATTAAATTAAATTCTATGTGTCCAGTGTTTAATGGAAAACATCATAGGCATATATGTACACTTGAAGAAAAAAATTCTCTAATAATTTTTAAGCAATATTGTTCAATGCAACAAAAGTTACAAATAGATTAGAAATAAATCATTATAAACGTGTGTGGTATTTTAGTATTTGTCGATGTCTTGTCCATATTTTTAAAATATCATATCTTCCTTCTTCGACTGTTTTGAGCGCTAAACCTATCGGTGCCAGTGCTAGTGTGAATATTCGACTCCCGGGTCAGGGTACATCACCAATGTTTAGATTCATGTGAATGCATGGAAATTTGAATGAAAAATTACCAAAAATAAAAATAAAAAGAATTCTCAATACTAGAAATATGGGACATGAATTGGATACTAACATTGACATCGAAAAATATTATATTTTGTTATGTTCTAGAATTGGTATTTTTTGGTCAAAAGAATTGTCTCATGATTTGCTTGTTGAAAAAATGAACATTAAAAAATTTATCAAGTTAATAGAAATCCTTAAATTATTACCCATTTGGTCTTATAATATTTTTTTCTAAAATTCTGTACATATATTTTAAGACAAAAGAATAATAAAATTTGAGGGTATTGATGGACCAGTACAAACTATACAAACCCTCCCACCATTATATATAAATAGAGTATCTGTAAAGTTGGAAATTGTAAAATAAATAAACTAGAAAGAAATAATAAATTTTCGATCTATGAATGACAAATAGAATGACCCAATTAAAAAAATTTTGAAAAAAAAAAAAAAAAAAAATTGAACAACGACAATAATCAGGTAATTTTTTATATATTATAAGCCTTTGCTGTCATATCAACGAGATTTACTTTAACAAACATTTTATTTCTTGATATGTTTTGTTACTTTAAAATGATAAAAATCGAATATCTATAACCAATATTTTTTTTTATAAATTTTACAGATTTTAGGCCTTTCACCTCAAGTTTCTTGACTAAAACACCACATATGTTCGTACAAACTAGTCAATATTGGCCTAAACACTCCGCATTTCTATTTTTAAGTTTTCAATTGGAAAATTTGGCCTCGTTGGAAGAATCATATGACTTTGAAAAAATCAAATATTGGTGGCCCAAACTTAGGATCGTCCGAATCATGACAAATTTTGCTTTTCTACTTTCAGAGACATTTGAATCCTTTGTGAAACATGATTGGTATTCAAAATATTCTTTCCATGCCATTTGGTTAGGTCTTTTTTCACTGCGATTCTTCTCAATTGCAAGCTAATATGAAAATTATCAATTTGACGTGATGAAAGAATAAACTAAAATTATCTAGAGTTCCGTCTAAGTTTAGAAACTCTTTTCGACATTATAACTCATGAAAATTCTACTTACGTTTATATTTTCTATGTAGATTTATACGTGAGTTGTTTTTGTTTTAAACAATAGTATTGAGTTTAGATAGAATCCAATAGAGGACATTCATAAACTTGGGTTTGTATTAATGAAACACGATTTCCAACTTGCTGATAGTTAGACAGAAATGCATTGAAGATGCTCTAAAAA